CAAAGAAGCCAAGTTCTCTTTTAACGTTAGTAGCCACAAATGTTACTCCCGTTGGCCAGAGCCTGCTCAAGGGCCCAGTGCTGGGGAGCCCCAGGAAGGGATCCCAGGCCTCAGGAGTGGCTCCTCAGTTGGAGTGACCCTGGGCTGGGCCAGGCAGAGGAGGGGAGGAAAGAAACCCCTGCACCGTGTGTTCCCCAGCTCAGAAGTAGGTGTGCGCCTGTGAGAGCACTGAGGGCTGCCAGGTCTCCATGTGTGGCACCTGGATGGGCTAAAGAGGCAAGATGGACGCCGTGCAGTCCTTGCTGGGGGTGTGTGCAGGGCATCCCTCCTTCTTGGCACCGAGGGGTAGCTTTCTGAGACCTTGGAACCACTCTCACCTGCCCCTCCCTGCTCAGGAGCCTGCTGGACCCCTGCTCTTTCCACTGCCCGCCCCCGATACCTTCTGGCCTTCCTGCTGTAGCTCTGTCCCTGTCAGGACCCATCTTAGCACCACCTCCCCCAAAGCCTGGCCCAGTCCAGCTTTGGAAGCAGGCGAGCACTGGCCAAGGTCAGGCCTCCACTGCTCTTGTCCTGGGGCCCCTTCTCAGCTGTGAGACCCAGGGAAGGGGGTGACGCTGGGCTGCTGTCACTCATCTCCAGCCATGGCCTGTGAGAGGTGAGGGGGAGGGCCCCACTGGTCATCCTGAGACTTAACCCCAGGAGCCGGTGGGCAGTTGAGGGTGGAGCCAGACTCCCCAGAGGAGCAAGCCAGCCTCTGGCTCCTGCGTCACCACTGTGTCACTCCCCATGCCCTTACCCCTGCTACCAGCCTGTGCAGCCTTTTGGTTTCTCGGTTTCAAAAAGCTGCCCCCTGACAGGGGTTCCCTGCCGAGAAACTTGTTCCATTTTCCTCCAAAGGTGAAAAAAGCTTCACTTCTGAAAATAGCTCACCTGCCTCCCTGCATTGGCTGTCACCACAGCAACTGCTCCTTCTCAGGAGCTTCCCAATGGAAGGGGGCCTCAGTAGGTCCCCACTTGGCTCCTTAGCCACATTGGGAGGTTATTCAAGAGTTCAAGAAGAGCCCCTGGCGGGGGGGGTGGGGGAGCACGTGGTAGGAGTAGGGGGAGGTGGTGCAATAAATGCAGAGGAATCCCCTCATTGTCCCAACTTCTGTGCTGATTTGAGTTGACGGAGACAGTGATGGGCCGGGGCCCAGGGAGCAGGTAAGTGTGAGTCCCAGCTCTGTGCGGGCCGCACACTGGGGTCATGACATCCTTGTCCACATCGAACCTTCCTGCCAACCCTAGGGTGAGAAGGAATAACGCCCCTAATATGTGAACTAGTGCACTTGGTCACAGCCACGTGGAATTGGGAGAAGGACAGCCTGGCCCAGAACTGGGCTCTGCCCCTGTCCCAGGCATCTTCTCCCAGAATTGAGCCAGGCAGACGGCCAGAGCAGTCAGGAGAGCGCATGTGTCAGGCTTAGAGGAGAAGATGGGGGACTGGTGAGAGCTCTGTGCCCAGGAGGGAGCCCCAGTGATGAGCTAGAGAGCATGCAGTTCCCGGGGACCATCCCCAGGGCAGTAAACCAAACTGTAATAATCAACAAGAGGGTGAGAGTGCAACACATGGTAGAAGTAGAGGCGTTCAGCCGCTCAATTCCATGTGGTCAGCCAAATAATGGCCCCAAAGATGTGCATGTTTTAATTCCTGGAACCTGTGAACATGGCAAAAGGGACTTCTCAGATATGAGTAAGTTAAGGCTCTTGAGGTGGGAGGAGTATCCTGGATTATCTGGGTGGGCCTGATGTAATTACAAGGGTCCTTAAAAGAGAGCGGCAAGATAGCCAGAGTCGGAGAGATTAGAAGATGCTACTCTTCTGGCTTTGAAGATGGGAAAGGGGCCACAAGCCAAGGAATGTAGGCGGCCTCTTGAAGCTAGAAAAGGCAAAGGAACAGATTCTCCCCTAGACCTTCCAGAAGGAACCAGCTGTGCCAATACCTTGATTTTAGGACTTCTGACTTCCAGAGCTCTAGAATAATAAATTGTGTTGTGTTAAGCCACTAAGTGTGTGGTAATTTGTTACAGTAGCAGTAGGAAACTACTACACTTAAGAAACTAGTCATGAACAAGAAGGCCACATCGGAAGCAAGATGGAATGGCCACAATGGACAGAGAAGTTGTGTCTGCTGTCTTGTAATACATTGGTAACCTGAGTTTCGTGGATTTATTCTCTTTTAACAAATAAGAGAAGTCTTCAGTGTCGCTAGTGAAACTGGTGACTGGTTGCTATCAGATCGTCTCATGGAAACCCCATATGTGTCATAGTAGATCTGTACCACTTGGGGTTTTCAATGGCCAATTTTAAATTGATTATTTTAGGAATCAGTTCTTTTCTAGAGATGGTTGTATCTGAGTTGGTTAGGTGCTTATTCACAGTCATTCACTCCACGTGGCCCACTGTTCCAAGAGCTGCCCCATTTCAGAGCTCCTCACTCAGCTATGGAAGCCGGGCTCCCATTGCTCTTCCGTGCTCCACAGTCTGTAGCAGCTCTTTGCTTCTGCCCGTTTAGCCAGGGAGGCCTGGGTGCACCCTTTGCTGAGGAATGCACAGTGATATTCAGCCCTAAGTTCCCGAACCACTGGGCAACCTGAAGATACAGATCTCTTAGCCCTGAGTTGGCTCTTATTCCTGACGGAGAACAGAGTTGGCTTCTCTGTCTCCCAGGCCCAGTGTCCTGGCTTCAGAAGCTGTAGCTTTGGCAGGTAGCAGAGCAGCTCGCTTGGATCCTTGCTCGTTGGTTGCTTTTCCGTGATGGTTTGGTCTGGATGTGAAAGCTCACCAGGAGCAGTAGCGCACAGGCAGACAGCTGGCAGAGCCCAGGGAAATTCAGAAAGATCACCCTGTAGGAGCCACAGCAGGAAAATGGCCAGCCTTTGTGAAGCTGGGGCCAGGCTGGTGTGGGAAGAAGAGGAGAGCACGCTTTCTGGGCCAAGGAGTGCCCCTCTGCCCACCGCCCACCCTGGCCTCCTGTCTTGCCCATCTAGCTCCTGTCCTCCCTCCATCCAGCCCTCTGTTTGGTTCCCTGGAGGCACAGTCCTCCTCTGTCAGCTGTGTCCTGCAGCCTGAGCCTTCACTGGCCGTGCGGGTATGTGGCTCCCAGCCTGACTCTGCCATTCCCAGCTGCCCAGTGGTCCTGACCTGAACACCCCTGTGCCAAGCTGTGGACCTCCTGCTGAGCAAATGTCACCCCTAAGTGACTTTGTACACCCCACGTTCTCTGTCCCTCCCAGTGAGCTCCTCCGTCAGAGGAGACAGTGAGCAGAGAAAGCCATGGAGTCATGGCCTTGGTGGTCTCTCCAGGTCACCCTTGAGAAAGCACAAGCCAACTGAATGCCAGAGAGGGTAGTCCAGAGAGAGGAAAAGCCTTACGAGCACACAGACCTGGCCTCAGAGCCCAGCTCTACTCTTGAATAGGTAGGACCCAAGCTGGTGGTTTGGCCTCATGGAGCCTGCAGAACGAAGAAGGGCCACTGTTTGCCAGCCACCATGAGGCTCAGGTTAGCCTGTGTGAAGCGAGAGACCCAAGGCCTGGCCCAGTGCATGTGGTCTCTAGACACTGGGTCACATGGGGCTGCAGTTGGGCTGGCTGAGGAGTACGGGGTGCCCACTTCCAGCCTGGATGCTGACCCAGGGCCCCAACAAATGGCAGTGTCTTCAGAACGGTATGTGGTGGCTGCTGCCTCTCATGCGGGCCCACAGAGTAGTAACTCAGCGGGTCCACTCCCATATACCTTGTCTGCCGTGGGAGAAACCCACTCTCTCCAAACATGCGCTCTTTTTTAAAATTTTATATCTTGAGTGAAGGAAAAATATTTTCTTCATCTAAAACAGTTTGTGCCAGTTGTTTCTGAAACAAGGCATTTTAGAAACCCCTCAGCACTTAGAGGCTTTGGGACTCACAGTGGTTTTGGTAGCGGCAGGACCATAGGCCAGCTGCTCACCCCCTGCTGTGGCACACTCCCCAGGGGACTTAGCTCTGTGCCACCTGGGACACGGGTTGCTCTGGCAGCCTCCAGGGAGGGGGAATGCCCAGTGGTACTTGGGCAGCTGCTAAGAAGTGAGAGGGAGGGTGGGAAGGGCAGCAGCCTCGAGTGAAGAGGGCAGGCTCTGAAGGGAGATGGCCTAGCTAGGGGCCTAGAGCATGTGACTTCCCCTCTCTGAGCCTCATTTTCCTCGCCTGTCCCCTGGGGATGACACAATCCCTACCCTGACAAGGCTATTGTGAGGATACTCTGATGTCTGCACACAGTAGGCACTCAATAAATGAGAGCAGCCTTGCTCTTGCAGGGGAAGAGAGTGACGCCCCTGAAAGAGGGTGGGGAGAGCCACGACTCTGGCCTGGAGGTCTTCGGGCAGGCCTTGAAGAGGGGACGGCAGAGGGGTGGATGGGGATGCCTCTGAGGAGGTGGGGGAGGTGTATGGAGGCTCCAGGTGGTGAGGACACAGTGGGTGAAGCTCTCAAGCATGAGTGCTCCGGATGTGCAGGGAGCATAGTGTTGTGGGTGTGGTGGAGGATGGCGTGGGGCCGAGAGCACAGGGAAGGTGGTGGGAAGGTCTGGGCCAGCTGCGTGCCTGCGAAGCGGGCTTTACTCCCAGGAAAAGAGCACCTCTCCACCCATCGCGTACATCATAACTTAAGGGAGTTGGTGCCCTGCACAGCAGACAGGTGCCTGCAGATGTGCCCCCTCCAAGGTGTGGTCCTGGCCCTGTCATTGCAGCAGGTGCCCTCTTAGATTCCCTACCATTGACTCAGGGCAGCCTCTCTGGTGCTGGAATCTGGAGGCTGTGACTTGCTGTGCTCGAGGAGGGGAGGGCAATGCAGCCTGGAAAGCTGGGTCAGGGCTGGGACAGGAGCTGACATTATCCAGGGCACCATCTGCTCTGCCTTCTGCAGCCCAGGCTGGGCGGCCGCTGGTCATCGATGATAACCCCAGCCACTGTACTTCCCTCTGCAGATGACTCTGGTGATGACGACGACGAAACCGCCTCCCCGTCAGACAATAGCGAGCTACACCACACCATTAAGACCCTCTCCTTGAAGTTAGACGACCTGAGCACCTGCAATGACCTCATCGCCAAGCATGGTGCTGCCCTTCAACGCTCTCTGAATGAGCTGGACAGCCTCAAGATCCCTGCTGAGAGCAGCGAGAAGCTAAAAGCAGTGAACGAACGGGCCACACTTTTTCGCATCACGTCAAATGCTATGATCAACGTAAGTGCCCCCCACCACTATCCTGGCAAGGGTGTCCCAACAGGGAAGTGGCCTCCTGTCACCAGCACCAATGTGAAGTCTGTGTACCCCAACATGGTCCTTGTGTGGGTGGCTGGCCTAACAAGGGGCACAGTGAGCAAATCCCACCTTCATTGCTAACTGTGTGGTCAGGGTCGGCATGAGTCCAATTCTTGAAGTGGGGGGATGTAGCCAGTCCTCACCTTCCCACCTCTCCATCCTTGTCACTGTCACTCACTCACACAGCCCCAGCCACCCAGAGCTGAGTCAGAGCTCACATGTTGGAAGAATACCTTCCTTCAGACTGCCAAACTGGCAGATACCAGCCCCCGCTGGCCCCCACTGCCCCTGTGCGTTCGTTAACTTGCTGGAATGACTCACGGAATTCATGGAGAGCATACTGTACTTACTGTAGATTTATTACAGCCAAAAAGGATACAAACAAAGAGGCACATAGGGTGAGGTCTGGGAGGGTTCACAGCAAGGAGCTTCCATGTGCCAAGGCGGGATGTGCCACCCTCTCCTGGGCATGGTCACCAATCAAAAAGCTCCATCTGAGCCTCAGGGCTCAGTGCTCTTACAGTCTCCCCACGTGGCCATGATACATTACATCAGGCCTTGTGAGGCTTAGTCAGCATCCAGCCCCCAAGTGGTCCCTATTGGTCTGACCATCCCCCATTTGATAGTCTGAGGTGTTGGTACAGCTCAAAAGAACAGAGATCAAAAGCCAAAATTGCTTTCTGCAAGGTGATTCCACACCTTGCAGTGGCTGGGGACTCTTGACTGAGCAGGACTCCGTTTCCTGTGGCTTCGTCTTTTCCCAAAGCCGGCACCTCCCTACAGTCTCCATCCTGTCTGTCTTCTCATTCACACAGTCCTTGTTGGACAAGGACATCGTTTTTCATTGTCTGGTGGAAACGAGTTAGGTGTGGAATTTGGATGAGGCTTGCAGTGGTTCATGCCTGGGTGAGAAAGGCCAGGGCCCGTGTTGAGCAGCCAGCCAGGAGGGCCAGCTCTGCCTGCAGTCAGAACACAGCTGCCACGTTGGCCCATAATAGCTGCTGCTGCTCCTTCCCTAGGCATACTCCTCATTGACACAGCAGGATTGGGACCTGTGTAACCATGGGGGGCATATCCATGTGGTGGGGGCTGGGGTTGAGGGGCTTCTCAGCCAGAAGAATCTTAGAGCTGAGCCTGCCATGGCAGGCTTTGGAGGCAGATGGTCTAGTTGGGAGCCTGGAGCATGTGACTTCCCCTCTCTGAGCCTCAGTTTCCTCATCTGTCCTCTGGGGATGGCACAGTCCCTACACTGACAAGGCTATTATGAGGATACAGTGATGTCTGCATACAGTGTGGGTCCTGCCAACCTGAGAGAAGAAGTGAGTAGCCACAGACTGTAAACCAAGAGAGCTCTTCAGTGGGTTCTGGAAGCTACGTTGCTTGACTGGAACCTGGGAGGGTCTCTTGGCACGGTGGCAGGGAGTTTAGTGCTTGACCAGGCTTCTGGGCCCTTCCTCTTAGTGCCTGGTGAGTGTTCTCGGATGATGTGTGTGCTTCTCCAGGTGTTCACGCACCTGGACACAGGTCTGACTGCAGCACCTCCTCCCAAGGACAGATCCTTCTCAGAGGAGCTTTGGAGGACGTGTGCTGCGAGCAAGGAGGGCCAGAGCAGGGAAGGTGTGGGGAAGTGGAGGTTGCTGCAGAACAGGGGCCCCGGTCCAAGAACATGATTCAGGCAGCTTCGGGATGGCCAGAGACAGTGGGCAAAAGTGATGCCCAGGTCAAGGCAGCCTCCAAAGCAAGGTGTCACTGACCAGGAGTCAGGATCAGGCTGTAGACCCAATGGGAAACCCAGGGGCAGGGTGGGAAAACAGAGGCTGGAGCCCACTGCGGCCAAGACCCAAGGCTAAACTCCGGGCATCCAAGACCTGCCTAAGCCCAGGCCTCACTGCTGGTGTCCATCCCACCACCCACCCACCTGCCCAGTCCTCATATCAGGCCTGGAGTGGCCCAGTGCAGGAGGAAGCCTCAGGAATTCCTACCCTGGGTTTCTGGCAGTCAAAGCAGGAAAAGGCCACAGGGCAGTGGTGAAAGTGGAGGTGGGAGTGGAGTCTGGAAGTCAGGGCTTTAGAGGTCTCCTAGAGCTACTGTTAGTCTGTATGGCTGTTTTCACCGCTTAATTGAAGCTGAGCAGAGGGAGCCCAGGCACAGAAGGGTCACCCTGAAGGGCCATCACAGCCACATGGCCTCTCCTGAGCATCTAGGAGCTTCCCTGGGAGCCGCCCTGCCTGTTTTCCAGTCCTACGTGGCCTTGGTGTATCCTAGGGGACCAAGAATCTCAGTTCCTTCCAGAAACAGGGTCTGACAGGTTCACGTCTGACCTCTGGTCATGCTTTGGGGAGTTTCAGAATCTGGGCAGTCTCAGAGTAATGCCAGGTGCGCCAAGTCTCCCCACGGGTCATTCAGAGCTGGGGTTCACGCAGTTGTCTTGCCAGGTCCCTGAGTCACCTCGAGAGCTGGTCGTGTTAGCCAGCCTCTATCTCTGAGTTGGGTACAAAAAAAGCAGAAGGTACTCCCCCGACTTCCTCCTTGCTTTTTCAGACATAGTGTGTGCTCTGTGGCAGGGTAAGTGTGTATGTATTTGTGTGTGTGTGTTTTCAAGGGAAAATTCCCTGGGGAAATAGAGCAGGGCCTGGAGCTGCTCATTTTATTTCATTTCTAGAAAGACTTCGCAGACCCTCCATGTGCCAGCACTGTGTGAGCGTTGTAGAGGCAGAGCAAAAGCCCCAAAGGAAGTACAACCCAGCCCCAAAGGCATTATAACATACAGCTTCCCCAAAGGAACTATAACCAACACTGCTCCCAAGTAGGCATGTACTGTTGGGTAAGCTGCCTGTGCTCACTGAGACTCAGTGTGTTAATCTGTAAGATGGGAATAATGTTACCTCTCTCAGGGATTGTCAGAAGTAAATATAAAAATAAGTGAATGTGCCTAGTATAGGTATGTAATTGTTGTTAGTTGTTGAGTCACCTCGAATTTGTGACGGCACCATGTGTGACAAAATAAAACGTTCTCTGATCCTGCACCGTCTTCATGATTGTTGGTGTGCTTGAGTCCATTGTTGCAGCCACTGTGTATTTTAAGTGCCCTCCAACCTAGGGGGCTCATGTTTAGCACTGTATCTGGCGATACTCTGTTGTGATCCATCAGGTTTTCATGGGCTAATTTTCAGAAGTAAATCGCCAGCCCTTTTTTCCTAATCTGTCTTAGTCTAGAAGCTTTGCTGAAACCTGTCCACCTTGGGTGACCCTTAGCTTCCAGCATCACAGCAACACGCAAGCCACCACAGTACGACAAACTGACAGGTGGTGGCTGGTATGTAATAGCCCTCAATCAGTCAAGTTTTCTTTCTTATTCAAATACAGACTGAGGATTGGGACTTGACTCCAGCCGCATCTGGCAGTGAACAGCACGCTGCCCATAGTGCTGTCTCTCTGTCTCTGGTCTGGGGCGTCCAGCTCCTCCCTCCTGTTCTCCCTCCCTCTCTTTTCCACTCCCATCACACCCTCCATCCTGCCCTGCATCCTTCAGCCTCCTGCCTGCCACCCCCAGCCCAGTGAGGCCATGTACTCCCAAGGGCAGGGTCCTGTCTGCCTTCACAAAGAATCAAGCTCATTTGCTCATCCAGTCCATCTACGTGTCATGGGAGCTTTCCTGTGCACGCATCCAGGCCCTGGCAATTGAGCAGGCAGAGCCCTTGCCCTCATGGACCTGGCCTTCTGGTGGGGAAGGTGGACAAAATATACACGAATAGAAATGTCAAGTAATGTCAGGTAGCAGGAAGGCTGTGGAGAAGAATAAAGCCACATCCAGGGAGCGGGCGCTCAGGTGGCTCTGGTTGTCTTAGAGTAGCTGGTTGGAAGGCCTCTCGGAGGTGACACCTTAGCCAGTACTTGCATGAAGTGTGCATAGAGGCAGGAGGGAGCCATGCAAAGATGCTGCAGAGAGTGTCTACACAGCAGGACAGCATCGTTCCCAGAACAGTGGGAGGAGAAGGGGATTTGCACACAGATGGCTGGTGCAGTAATCATACAATTTACTGTCCAGACTGAGACGTGGCAGAGGCTGAAAGCGGAATGGTTCGTACTGACATCACGATCACAGGGGTAAACAAGGCTGTCCCAGGCAAGCAGGCTTGGGCGTGACGCCTGGTTAGATGGTGGTGCTGCTAACTACAAGGGGTCAGTGGACCTGGGAGGAGGTGTGGGCTGTATGGTGGCTGAGGCTCCCAGGTGACACGGTCGAGTTGATTCCAACTCATAGTGACCCTATAGGACAGGGTAGAACTGCCCCATAGGGTTTCCAAGGCTATCATCTTTATAGAAGCAGCTCTGCCGCTGTCACACTGCATGGCCAGGGCCGGTCACTGACCTCACCGAGCCTCTACTGCCCCATCCCTAAAACAGGGAGCAGCCTGAACATAGGGCTGGCATGGCACAGGGCCCAGCACAGAGTGGGGCCACCCCAGGCAAGTTGCCAACATGGGAGCCATTAGCCCCTGTGCCAAGGTGCTGAGAGCCCGCAGACAGGCCAAGGGAGAAAGGAACTGCAAGAGACACAGAGCAATGGCTGCAGAGGCAGGTGCAGGCAGGGGAGAGGGGAGGCGGCCTGCAGCATCCCCCAGGGCAGCCTCCCCACCTGTCCTGGGCCAGTGAGGTGGCCCCTGGGAAATGTGGCTCGCAGTGCACCCAGGCAAGCAGGGGCTCAGCAAGGTCTGTGCCTCTGCCTTCCCTGACCCCAGGGTGCCTAGGAGTGCACTTGGCCCTGCTGGCCCCACCTTCAGCTTGTGCTCGTTTTCCTGTGTCCACCTCTCAGGCCTGGTGCCCTCCTCACAGCCCCTCACCCTGGGTGTCTGAGTTCCCATACTTCTACCTGTGACACATACGGCCGTTAAGCATTTTAATGATGATTAACATGCTTG